AATTGATTTCGCGTATATGTCAAAATAGCGGAATCTAAGGATGAGTGTCAAAACTGGGAAACTGCTAACGAATATACTCTCCAAAGGCAAAAGGAATCATCCGCATTTGGACTATATATCGGAAAACTGAACGATGACGCTGATGCACCTGAAGGTCATTAAGCCAAACATTTTGTATCATTTTCATTGAAGCCTTTAATGACATTTCTAATTTAAATAAAAAAAAGCTTTAATTTTGTTGGGCAGACAATATTAAAAGTCAGAACCTCAAACGCATCAACGTGTGGTTTTACGAGCATGTGTTCATTGGTGCAATCGGCTAATAATTTTCACATTGATGTAGAAAGAGGTGCGTGTGTATGTGGCCTACAAACATTTTTGAAGATCTGGCGTGACTGCTCCCAAATGTTGCACAAATTTACGCGTACCTACTATATGCCAAACAGAGATATATGGAGTAGAGGCGTACACTACGATATGGCAGACATGTCACGTGTCTCACTAAGGGCGCTATTTAGAGTGTACCCAGCAAAACAAGTAACAACAACCCTAATTTAAAGTATTCTGGCAGGGCCGCAAATTCTGTGCTTGCCATGGGCACCGAGAGGCCTCTGCGGACTTGTTCTAGCAACCAAGAAGGAAATATGGAGAAGATCGCGATCTCAAAATGTCTCTCCAGACAGGGATACACCCCTAAATGAGTACAAGTGGAACCCATGATGGAAAGAAATGGGTGTGCTGCTCCACAGAACCGATTTTCTCTCGTTCTGCGCAGAACCGGATATGTCAAGAACCACGTGACCACTGGCTCTTCGTTTGCAAAGGCTGGCCGGATGTTGCTGGCCGCCATGCGGCATCGCAAGCAACCAGTGCCAGTGAGAAACATTTTGATAAAGGCGTAAAGTGACCATTTTCACGGGTGAACAACCAAAAATAACACGAAGAAGGTGTAGTTCTAATAAAATTGCTTCATATATCATAATTTTCAAATAGTAATACAGTAAACCCTAGTTAGCACGAGTTCACTTAACACCAAATTCGTTGTCACACGAAAAAAATAAATGGGTCCCGCCACTGACATGTAATGAGGATATGTAAAAAAAAAATCGGATAATACGAATTTTTATAACACGATCACCGATTATTTGAGTTCCTTGGAATTTGTGTTAACGAGGGTTTACTGTAAGTGTAATTCATTCCATCATATTGAAACACTTCCGAAAATTACAAGTACATAATGGGCGCGGAAAATGCAAGATATGTAACTGCAAAGAGCGCATATTAGGTTTAGAGCACAGTGTGATGCATCAACAATGAGGCAGCCTCGTGCGAAGTGCTGCGCGAAGAAGACGGTGACATGGCGGTCCTCGCGAGACGTGCCCCGCGGAAGGGGCGGCACGTGGCGGTGGGCGAAGGGGCGCGCGTGGGCGTGGGCGGCGGATCGGCAGGTGGCGTGCGGCGTCGAGGCCGCATCGATTGGCGACGCCGTCTCGTCGGCAACTTGGACCGCGCCCTCATCCGCTAATGGCCCAGGGCGTGGTCACCCACCGCCCCCGCCCGCCCGTGCGTCGCGCCGCCGCGCGGGCAGTCGCCGGCTCGCGCCGACGCCGAGCCGCCGCCTCCCGCGCCGCGCGCCATGGTCGTAGTAACAGCGCGGGGTTCGGAGCCCTGGGGCACCCCGCACCCCGAACCACTGGCTGCGCTTTGCGCTACGTCCACGCTGAAAAAATTGCGTTGCTCAAATTCGATAACAGTTAAATAATTTAGAATGAAGCTTGAGGGGACAAAATGTCCAAAATCAAATCCACTTACGTCTACACAAATTTTTTTGATGCCGGAATAAAGAACCTTGAGGATCTCCGCACTGCGAACCACTTTGCGCTACAGCAAAAAAAAATGCTGTTTGGGTTTTGTTGTCGCGTATGCGAATTCTCGAAACTTAAAAAAATGCGTTGTTCAAAACCGATACGAACTAAGTAGAACTGAAACTGGGGGGGGGGGTTGAAGTTACGTCCACAAAATTAGCGGTTATTTGGTGCCGAGATAAGGAACGCTGGGGCACTCTGTTCTCAAATCCGGAGGATGTACTTTGTGGTAGAGGAAAAAAGAAAAAAAAAACTGGGGTAGGTATAGTTGACACGAATACAAACTCTCGAAGCTGAAAAAAAGCGTTATTCAATTTCGATATCTTTTATTTAGAGCTGAACCTTCGAGGAGAAGCGGCGCAAATTGTCGAATCTTAAAACACTTTACTCCTAGGAAAATAGTGGGTGTTTGTGCCGGAATAAGGATCCCTGTGGTATCTCGCACTCCAAACTAGTGGCTGCATTTTGCGCTACAACATAACAAATTGCTATTTAGGTTTATTATACTCGAATTCAATTCAAACTCTCGAAACTAAAAAAATTGCGATATTCAATTTCAACTCCTGTCAAATGATGAAGAGATGGGGATAGGGCCGAATCTTAATTAATCTACAAAAATAGCGGTTGTTTAGTGCCAAAATAAGGAACCTTCGGGCTATCCGCATTCGAAACTAGTAGCGGCTGATTGCACTACAACAAAACATCATAATTTAGATCGTCGTTACACACGTAAATAACAGAATCTGAAAAGACACGCAGTTCAGTTTCTATAATATCAAGTGCTTTGCAATTAAAAAGTGGATGGGCGAGACGTCAGTTCTTAAATCCGTTTACGACTGCAATTATAGCTGTTAGTTAAACATCACCCATATAGAGCTAATGTTTTTGTTTTTCATTTTATATTTTTATTTCTGTTACACCCCCCCCCCAAAACAAAGATAATGATGAAAACGAGCGCAATTGCAGAGTCAAATTTGAAACGCGCGCGCAAATCATCCACTACAATGGCGGCCGCTGTCCCTGCCAATTTATCCTGTGTCCAAAACTATGTTTCCACGGAATTGTAGGGGCTCGGGGAATATTCATGCGATTTCGGGTGCAACATTTGGATGTTTTTTCGGATGAAATAAGTTTGAGGACTTCGCTCGCTAGTCGTCGGTTAACGAACGACTGATATTTCGCCTGATTTCGTGGAGATACGTGAAGCTCCTTGATGGTGGATATGATCTCAAAGATCAGGAGTGTGTGTGTGTGTGTGTCAGGGGCATCAGGCCAAAGACGGTGACCTTCAGATCGTGTTCAGCACGCAGCGTGTATCGCCAGCGGATGACAAGGTGAGAGGACAGTGATGGACCCAGTCAGTAGAGGAAAGCAAACTTCCTGACGAAACGAATTCGCAGCTTTCGCACAGCATCGAATTTTACATTTCATAACTGTCTCAATTACGACTTACATTTAAACTGAAGGAGTACACTTTTCAATATGTCCCCTGTGAAGTGGTTTTCGTTCATTGTAGGAAAATTGCATATGTTCAATTTTTTCAGGGTCTTTCTACAATTACAATATTGAAGATAGATTTTTTTCCTTAATGAAATTAAAGTATGCTATATGTTTCTCTTTGTATAACCCTGATTATTGTAAATTATGTTCTGGAGTTTTTTCCTAGTCTTTAATTAGCCATTAACTTTCGATGCATTTCGTTGTCTTTCAATGTAAAGTTTTATTTTCTAGGTGGGCGCTGCTATCTTTAGACTAAGCAAGCAGCGCCTATGGGTTTGGAAAATCAAGAGCCTAAAATTCGAGAATAGAGCAGTTAATTGGTCTAAAATCAATTAATTGGATGTAGTTTGGTTGATGTTTCGAATCTCCTTAGCTCAATGTTACCGCAAAAGCGTGTGCACATGTGGATGCTCGCGATCATTTAAACGCCTTTAAATTCAGCTGCAGTTGTTTTGCCAGTCACCGAACGTCGTTGTCCGTTGGCCTCTCTTGAGGTAGTTTCAATAAGAACACTTACAGTTCAAACAAGCATATGTATTAGAACATAAATTTTCCAGGCTGGTAGGCCGTGGTCCAGTTGGTATTGAAGGGTCGTTCAATGCCAACTGGACCACAGCCTACCAGCCCGGAAAATTTATCTTCTATTGAATCCGACCGTGGAAGTATTCGATGCTATGTAAGCAAATGTATGAAATGAATGAAACGTACGAAATGATTTATAATTCACGCAATTATAAATCCGGAATCAATCAGCAAGTGTTACATCCTTCGCTTTCGCGGGTATCTTGTATCTCACTATGGGACCAACCTATTAATTGTCTGAAGTACCTTCCCCAAGGTTTTGTCAAAATTCGAATATCCTGAAGACGCTACTAATTGTGTTTTAAAACCGGCATTTCAGTTACCTATACTCAGGGGTCCATCAACTCGCCAACTCGACCCAGTCTCTCATAACAAAACTTGCGTCCATGTCGACGCTACATCCCTCAATTGTCTGTAACATGTATCATACTACTCGTACGAAATGTATTTGCATTTCGTGGCAGTTGCGTTTGGTTTTTGTGCACTGCTAGCTTTAGATGGCTGAGCCCGTGCTGACAAAGAGTCTAAACCTCTTGTGAGAAATAATAATAATAATAATAGTAATAATAATAATAGTAATAATAATAATAATAATAATAATAATAATAATAATAATAATAATAATAATAATGCCGGCCCAGTGGCGCAGATGGTTGCGCCAGCCATCGTCTGCGCCGAGGAGGCTGCAGATTCGAGTCCTGTGTATTTGTGATTGTCCCTTCATGTCTCTTCATGATCCCGTCACCTCATAATTCAAAATTCAAGGCGTAACATCTTTGTCTTACCAAGAGATGAAGGCGACAAGCTGATCCCAATAATGACACATGATAATATCTCTGGGATAAATATGACCGGGCCACGGAAGAACAAATGGCCGATACGAATATAATAATAATAGTAATAATAGTAACAATAGTACTAATAGTAATAATAAATTGTCCTTATTTTTGGCGAGGCTCAGTTCATAAGGCTGCTCTTTCCCCTGTCTACTTGAATAATATTACAGAAGAGACGATCGGGGGTAAATAGCATTAACGGACATTTCGCTTGAAGAGGCACCTGCCATGTGCGCGTGCGCGCGTGTGTCGGCAGGGGTGCGTGGCGCCCGAGGCAAGCGCGGGCGTGGGCGCGGGCGTGGGCGTGGGCGTGGCAGAGCCGCCCGACGACTGGCTGGAGCAGCCCGTGGCCGCGGGCTTCCGCGTCTGGCAGATCCTCTTCCTCTGCCTGGCCAGCCTCCTCGCCCTCGGTGAGACCCCTCGCCCCCCCCCCTCCCGGCCACAGCACTTGCACTAGAGCTGCGAAACGCATCACCACTAGCGGCCCACTCACGCCAGGCACGCCTAGATATAACCCGTTACAAATACAAATCCTTGCAAGCACCACCAGAATATTACGCAGTTGAGCACATGAGCTTTGGGGCTTGGTTCTGCTGGAGCGGTGCCTCGCTGGTGAGAGATATGTGGTTGGGGAAACCCCCTACGTCGACGTACAGGTTCGTGCCGGAACTCACCATCTAGCGGGAGAAGATCACTGCCCTTCCCCTGATAAACATGTACTAATTTTAGGGGACTAACACTAGAACCGTCGGGACCATGCTTGTACTTAGAACCACCGAAGCGGTCATTTTGACAGCTGCGCATAGTTCACCTTCTTTATAAAATTAAACTAATTTTATAACCGGAAAAGCTTTTGTATCGTAAGGTGGCAGGTCGGATAATCAATATATTCAATACAAATTCCAGAAAATAATTTATTGATTATTCACGCAAACAGCTTTTTACTTCACACGAACAGCTTTAATCGCTAATATAATATTATGTTTAGTATACCCTCAAATAATCGTCGAAATTTACATTTTATTTGTACGAAGAACAAGTTACTATCTTTATTGTTCTGCAGGACCCAAAGACTCGTTTTCTGTATTTACTGCAGTGTGTATTTGTTTTGTTTCGACATTTCTTTGCTTGGCATTGGCCTCGCTTGTTGTTTTGTGTAATGTCCATCTCTTCTGCATGCATATCTTCCATTCTTCTTCCTGTTTTCTATTTATTTATGCATTCTACGTACTATGCTCGTAGTTCTTCCGAAATATTCAAGATTCAATTTCTTTTGCTTATCTTGACTCCTATCACAGCTTTGCGACAACCCACGAGTTCAGAGCTGCGAGATAAAGAATATTACGAAACATTTTCTGGCCAACGTCGTGTGCCTGATCGCACTATATATTTTTTTGTCATCTGTTCTAAGACGTATACCGCAAACTTTGTCTTATTGTAAAAGCTAATTGTTTCTTGTAGCTTTTTCGAAGTGTCTCAAATTTATTTCTACTGAGATATATTTTCAAATAAACGACTAATACTGGTAGGCCACAAGTTATAAGAGCAAACTTTCGACTGTACTGGCTGTTTCAATTCGGCTGTGTGTTATATGTTTCAACGGTTCTTCGAAATGAATTTCAACTTGACTGACTAACAACACACATAAAACTTCTCAGAGTAGCATTTGTCTTATTAGCGACCAAAATGACCGCTTGGCGGTTCTAACTATAAGTATTAATAACGATGAAACTAATAATAGAAAAATATTATAATAAAGCATAGATGATCTATAAAACGACTTCGGAAAACTCGTGAAATTGTATTAAAATTGAACAGATATCAGTGTGGTAAGAGCTCATTTACAATATAAATGCGGTCAAATTGACCGCTCGGCGGTTTTAGTGCTAATGACCTTACCAGTTGACACTCCCGGAAACACCAACCAATCAACCAATGCTACGTTGTGATGACCGTAGTTCTGCTCTGGGCTGAAGTGCTGGTGTGAAACATTTCAAGCCTGAAGAAGGCCACGATTAAACGGTCACAACATCGGCGTCGTAGCCTTGGACGCGAATTCTCCCGAAGATCCAAAATCATTCTCGACACGAAAAGCTCGTCATATTTATTCTGAAGCCTGTGCTCACGTGTGAGCATGTGCATGGGTGTGCATTTGCATGAGCATGTGAATAGGTGCCCGGGAACATCAATCAATCGATCAATCCTACGCTGTGATGCCGACATTTCGACTGATGTTTTCTTCAGGGCTGAAGCGCTACCTTGAACCGCTTCAGGCCTGAAGAAGGCCCCGATCAGAGAGTCGAATCGTCGGCGTCACTGCCTTCAACAGCCACAATCATTCTCGCCGCGTGAAGCTTGTCTCATTTATTCTGAAGACAGCGTGAGCATGTCTCGCCGCAAAACGCTTGTCTCGTTTATTCTGAAGGCAGCGAGAGCATGTCTCGTCGCAAGACGCTTGTCTCATTTATTCTGAAGGCAGAATGAGAGTGTCTTGCCGCGAGAAGCCTGTCTCATTTATTTTAAAGACAGCGTGAGCGTGCCTCGCGGCGAGAAGCTTGTCTCGTTTATTCTGAAGGCAGCGTGAGCGTGCCTCGCGGCGAGAAGCTTGTCTCATTTATTCTGAAGACAGCGTGAGCATGTCTCGCCGCAAGACGCTTGTCTCGTTTATTCTGAAGGCAGCGTGAGCGTGCCTCGCGGCGAGAAGCTTGTCTAATTTATTCTAAAGACAGCGTGAGCGTGCCTCGCGGCGAGAAGCTTGTCTCGTTTATTCTGAAGTCAGCGTGAGCGCGCCTCGCCGCGAGAAGCGAGTCTCGTGAGGCGGCGCGAGCGTGTGCGTGTGCGCAGTGATCCTACTGTGCTGCTGCGTGCGCTTCCGCATCCCGCGCACCAAGCAGGAGATCGAGGCGGACTTCGTGCGCAAGCGCATCGCGCGCCACTTCCGCCGCCACCTGCGCGCCATCGACAACGCCGACATGGACGCCATGGACCTGCGGCAGGGTGAGCCGCCCTCCCCACGCCCACACCCGCTTCGGGCTGACGCACGCGCGCAGATGGCCACGTTTTGCCAACGAACGAGTAGCGCCACGTTTCACGCGTGACGATGATACACATGTGTTGGGAAGGTACACGCATGTGGTGTGGAGTTACGTATGTGAGGGCAGTACACAAGTGGAAGGAAGTTATACAAATTTACACGCGTTAGGACAGTAGACAACTGGTGGGATGTTACGTGAAATTACACGTGTGAGGATTTTACATAAATGGTGGGAAATCACATAAAATATTATACGAAGTTACATATGTAAGAATGTTACATACGTGGTGGGAAGTTACACGAAGTTTTTAAGTGTGACGATGATACACATGTGATTGGAAGATACACATGTGAGTATCTTATACATGTGGTGTGAAGTTACACCACTTTTTATCTGACAGTACACAAGTGGTGGGACGTTAAAATAAGTTATACGTGTGAGGAAGTTTCAAATGTGATGAGAAAATACACGAAGTTACAAATGTTAGGACGTTGTAGTGGGAAGTTACACGTGTGAGGGCGAATAACATGTGGTGAGAAGTTACGAAATTACGCGTGTAACGATGTTGCAAATGTGATGGTAAGTTACACGTGTAATGCCGTTACACAAATGGTGGGAAGTTACACGAAGATACACGTGTGAGGATGTTACATAAGTGATAGGAAGTCACATGCGAAATTACACAAAGTTACACGTGCGAGATGGTACACACGTGATAGGAAGTTACACAAAATTACGTGTAGCTATGTTACAGATGTGGTGGGAAGTTACACGAAGATACTCGTGTTAGGATGTTACACAACTGGTGGAAAGTTACATGAGAAATTACACGAGTAATAATGTTACACACGTGTGAGGTCGTTGTAAGGACATTACAAAAGTGTCGAAAGTTACAAAAAGTTACGCGTTTGAGAATGTTACACACGTAGTTGGGTGTTACACGTGTGACATTTACTTCGGATTAGACGGCAATACATGGTGTACTTCTGTTTGACAGGTTCACGAAATGGCTTTGACTGAGTCAGAAAATGAGTTTCCAAACACCGTTGGGTCAATGATTTTATTTGGTTGCTCGATCTCTCAGAAAAGTCATATAAATTCTCTTACGTACTGACTGCTTTATTTTTAAATATCGTACGTATTTGACAATGGCGGCCGTTTTTAAGCCGCGCGACATTCTTCGCATTTGCAGACATTTGCGGTTTTGTAAATTACTAGCAATGTTGTTGTAGCATTTTAAACTAAAAAGCTTTGCATTGAGTTAACTCGGGCCTACAAATTAAAGTTATTATTACTTACTTTAAATATTTTTATTTGGATAATATTTGCATCCAATCTCTTGATCGCACATGTGCAAATTCCGATTCGCAAAGAGTAACGCTTTTAAAAGTAGGAATATAGTCACAGCCTTTATTTTTTGTGGTTTCACCCATAACAGTGGAGTTACGAAAATAATAATGATCAGTAGCGTACCACTTAAAAATTAACTCTCCTAAATTTTTGATTTTTCCAAAATTTTCGATTATAATATGATTATGTAATGGTGATAGACCAGATAAAATTTTGTAATTTACACACGTTGATTTTCGCTATAATACCAAACTCCAGTATAACTGCACGAGGCTTAAAATCAAAATAGCCACCATTTGTGTGCAAGTACAATATATTTTTTTGGAAGAAAAAGGAGGTTTAGAAAAAACAATATATAAGGAAATTTATATAGAAAGTATGAATTCTCTCTGGGACTGTGAAGTGACCAATTTATTTAATTGTGGACCCTTGTAAAATGAAATGACTCCATTGTATGATGAGTTATCTGTCAATCGTGGGCAAAAATCACCCGTGTAACGTCGATATTGGCAATTGACCATCACATGTTCATTGGCAAAAAGTGGTCAGACGTCTTCCAACACGCCTTAGTTGTTAGTAACATTCATTTTGAGAAATTCTGTGTAGCAATAAGTAGTTGCTAGAAGCAATAGAAGTGGCTGTGTTTAGATTGGAAAGCATACATTTCACCCAAATTAATGCACGACTCGTTTTTCTTAAAAAAAAAGCGATTCACGTCAACGAGATCTTGGCTAACGACAATACTAATTCTCCAACCGAAGAATATAACCTAACGCTTTAAGGTACATTTGACGCTTCGCTACGTGTGTCCAAGTTAATGACGAGGCTCCAATCTTCTCCCTACGAAATTAACACAAAATATCATCGAACTTCAAATTCAACACTTTAGTAGAAAAAACAAAACGCAAAACAAATTCAAAACAATTTATTTAAGACAGTGATTTACAATCGAAGAAGCTTATACTAGTAAATTGTTTCTAAAATAGCCTGAAACTAATACTTTAGAAATTTGTTGGTGTGTTCACGCTACAAAAACAGCCACACACATTTCAACTACGAAATAGAAAGCTCTGGAACCCGCGAATTCCTGTCTATTGTTCTTCTCTTTCGTTCACCGATCTCAAAGGAAGGGGGTTCCTGCATTAATTTGTGTGAACCTGCGCAAGGCTCAGCCTCGCTTATGGCACCTGCGGATGGCAACGAGAAAACGGATTTGCTGCGTTGAATTGTTGGACTATTATTTAAGAGTAATTAAGTGACCAAGGATTTATAATATTGAATTCTAAAATATTCATCTACAAAGATACATTATTTAGAAAACAGTGAATACATACCTGTCTAGATTATTCACGAAATTACTTTGAAATAAGTAAATAAAGCCAATGTGTGGTTCGTCAACAACTAAATATACACATATATCGTTGCCATCTCTAATTTTGGGTTTCTTTCTGTTGTTTCACTAGTTTCACCAAAATGCCTGAAGTAGTGTTAGCGCCATGGTCTATAAAACCCTACTTCCTCATACCTTTCATTCCCTCGTGTTGCTTTGCGCAGATGATGTCAAAATCCACTAGATGAGACTCGTATCCTCCGTCTGCAAGTTCATTGCTGGGTAGTGTCAGAAATTTATCTCACTACTTTTGTTTTACACTTGATTGTTCTGTCAGTGTAGTATGGTAGATGTTGATTATTATGAATGGAAATTAAATGAAATCAGAACATTGGCACAATTGGCATTTTTTACAAATACATTATCATCTGAGTGACAATAAAACCTTGAATAAAGCAAGAGGAGTATTTTTCAACCGAATTTAAAGAATTAAACACTTTATTAACATAAACATTTAATTTTTTAGTTACATTTAAATTTATTAACAATATACAAATGATAACAGATTTTTGTGTTAATTCCACCATAATATAATTACCATCTGAAGTTATTTTCTTCAGACATGTCAACTATGAATTGTTCTTTGATATTGATAATATTAATAGATAATTGCGGGTCTGCTCACACTTTTGTGTATCTTTAGTGGTTATATTTTAAGTAACCGATGCAGAGACACACAAACACTCATGGCTGTGGTGGAACAATAATTCAAACTCATTGAAAATTTATCAAGCGCTAAATTACTCGCCATGTAATTTTATTGTATGAAAAATTAGTTTTATTTAATTTCAATTCGCGTATTTCCATTTCCATCCCACTCATGATTAGGGAGCAGGATGATGGCAGCTACAGGAATGTAAAAGAACTGTGTACTGAATTTTTCATGGGTAAATCTAAAAGTAATGCAGCAAGAGCTCTTACAATTTATTCCGTCGCGTGATACCCATTAAAAAGGCATTAGTTTTCATTACTTCACAGCATAATCACTTTGTTATTACGCATATATTCTGCACATCAGTGCTGCAAATTTCTTCCATCTGCAGACCAAGATATCGACGCGGTAGGTTTATGGAAGGCGATGCGTGGTCGATTCGAATCGGCGAATCGAAAATTCATGAATTCACATCCGCAACTCATACCAGACTTCCTCATCGGTTTTGAGTAGCACACTTCCCAAGTGCTTCTTCAATGGCAGGAAGAGATGAAAATAACTTTTTTAAACCTGATTTCTTCCTGCTCAGCTTACATGTTGATCAAGTGTTTGAAGCGCCTGAAGAGGACCTATGCCATTGGTAATTCACCACATGTGCATTGGTAATGATTGGATTATGGATTATTGGTTTGCTCGTACACACCGGATTCAGCCAGCTCACGGCGGTTTATGTCGAACTCACGTCCGCTTTTTTGGCCTCGTGGCCCTTATCCTTGCAGACGTTAACCTCGTCCCATGAAGCCTTGTTGTAATTGAAACGGCAGCCTGTAAATTCAAGTGACTCAAGAAATTTCCTACCTTGAGTGTCCAGCTCCATTAAAAATATATTTCTTTCTGGCCACTGGAGCGCTGTGAGATACAGTCGATAAAACAATTTGAGGAGCAAAGGAGTGGCGTTACACACTATATTCTTCCTTGCATTATTTCTAACTTTTCCAATTTTTGAAAATCAAAGTGTTAAACGACATAGAGGCTTTCACCATTTTTAAATGCTCCTCATTCTATTCGTGCAAAAAATTTACAGAAAACATTTGGAGCAGTTTTTGAGAATTTTTTTTTATCATTTCTATTGACTTCAAGCAAACATTTTTCAAATAGACCTAGTTTTTCGAATAATTGTACGTGACATTTTTTAAAGATCTTTATCTCTTACACCTACACGTACTGCACTACCACATATGCCTGGAGACCGGTCGAGAGCTTAGATGTTGTCGATCTTGGGGCGGTACCCCGCTGGTGAGACCATCCGACGGGGGAAAATTACCGTTACCTTACGAGGGAAACATGCACTACACCTTACGGTACGAATGACCTCAGCAGTTGACGCGCCCGAAATCAACCTGATATTTCGCCCCCAGAGTGCTTCGATTCGTTTTCGCGTTGATTACAAGCGCATGTTGTTTAAAACTCGATCAAAGTCTATTTTCTCAGAGCTGTCATAACAAAAATTGTACGTTTTCGCTCAACCACCAGAGCAAATATTGTATTTGGTATTTACATCCAGAAGAAGAA